AAAACAAACTATAATTAACCTCATTTTTAATAAGACTATAATTAATTTATTTTCTGTTATAAACATATATGCATAAAATTTTTTATTGAGGATTTGACCTCTTTTATTACATACTAGGGGTTACTAGTACCTGAAGGTACGATGTAACGTAAGTGAGAAGTGATAGAATTCAGAAAGAATTCAATGTGAATGATTTTGAGATGGATGATAATAGCTATTGGATAAGTCTATTTGAAGCCGTTGAATATATTTATTGAAATCTGTCGTGTTTTATATTTATAGATATTAAGGGTAATTTATGTTTGAAGGTACAGTGCAATGTGAATAGTTTTGAAAGAGATATTGTCGTATTTTATATTATAGATACTAGAAGTAATTTGTGCTTGAAGGCACGGTATAATATGAATGATTTTGAGAGGGATGTTGGTGACTATTGAATGAGTCTATTTAAGACCGTCGAATGAGCTTATTAAAACCTGCTTTATTTTATACTATAGATAGGGATAACTCATGCCTGAAGGAAAGGTATAACGTAAGTGAAAAGTGATGAATTTTGAGAAGTATATAATGTGAATGATTTTGAAAGAGATGTTTGTAGTTGATAGATGAGTCTATTTGAAACCGTCGAATAAACTTATTGAAGTCTGTCGTGTTTTATATTACAAATATTAGGAGTAACTCTTGTTTTAAGGTATGGTGCAATGTGAATAGTTTTGAGAGGGATGTTGCCATATTTTATATTATAGATATTATGGGTAACTTATGTTTGAAGGTACGGTACCAAGTGAATGATTTTGAAAAAGATGTTGGTGGCCATTGGATGTGTTTATTTGAGATCGTCGAATGAATTTATTAAAATTTGTCATGTTTTATATTATAGATAAATAATAATGTCGGTAACTTGCTGATAATCTCTTTGCACAATTAAAATGAAGACTTCAAGGTCTATTTTTGTGCAAGATTTTTAAATACGAGCCTACTATAGTACTTGCGTCTCTATTTTTTGATGCTCTCAAAATTATCCAAAAGAAGGAGAAAGAACGATAAAATGATGTTGTATTGTGATTTGGAGGTTACAGGTCCAAGTTGAAACAATTTCTCTAATTGTAGGGGTTAGACTATGTGTATCTAACTCTCTCTAGACCTTACAATGACTGGAACTTCGTGCATTGGGTATGTTTTTTTACATCTTCATGAGTTTGTATTGGGAAACTTTTTTTTCCCCTCAAATACTTTAATTTTAAAGCAATACTGTAAAACCTAAATGAAATATAAAAAGTTGCAACTCAAATATTTATCATCTCTTAGATGAGTGGGTTCATTGGATTCCATAAATTTTTTCAATGGAACCCATTCATCCTATAGTTATTCAAGGGATGATATGCATTTGAATTTTAACTTTTGGGTTATGTAGCATTTTGTTTAATTTTATATTTATTTATTAACTACTGTTCTCCTCTCAAAAATGATTTTTTTTTTTCACAACATGTTTTTCAGCGTAAAAATATATTTAAAAAAAACACTTCTAAAAAAATTGCTTTTAAAAATATAGATTTAATTGGCATGTAGATGAAAAACCCTTTGAAAACACTTGTAATCAAGATTTATATTTTCTGTGAGGGTGATTTTTAAAAAAACAAGAAATATACATGTCATTTGAGTAGGAAAGTTTATATTACAATTGATCAAAATAAAAACCTTAAGCTCTGAAGGTGGGGAACCAACCCAATCTAACGGGAGCGAGTTGTTCATAGCAGTGGCTGCATCCCAATGAGCAGCCTTGTTATAAACTTAGGCTTGTGTAAAAAATTAATATTGTGTAATCTAGCAAAACATCTAATGTCTTCCATTAGAATCTTAATTTTCCAAGGGGAACATCTTCAGTAACACTCAGTTTGATGATACTGAGGCAGTCGCTGATGACTGTGACGTTCTTCAGTGATCGTGCATCGGCAAGAAGACATGCTTGTCACACCACCTTTGCTTCTGAAACCAAACAAGAAATTGCTGAAAAGAAGAAACTCAGGCCCTAACTGTTGCAGTCTCTCGTCCTTGTCCACGATTTCCTGATGCTTTGTTGGATAGGTCATATCTCCCACATTGGATAGTTCATTCCACATTCATTTTGTTCTCATGACTGTTGCAAAAGCATTTGGGGCCTCATCGTTGAAAACTTTTTAATTCCTTGCCTTCTATATTGCCCAACCCATTGCAGCCATCTTCCCCAATACCTCAAATCTACCTTGGGGATCCTTCATTGATTCCAAAATCTGAGAAGCTCTTTGGGCAATAGAAATAAAAGCTGTCTTTCTCCAAATTGTATGCCATCTCCATTCCCAACCATACTCTATTTGTCCATTCACATTCAAATAAGATATGCTCGATGGATTCTGGGGCTAACATACATATTTGACACATAGGCAATGGGGCACATTTCCTCTTATATTGGTTCTCTTGAGAAGCAAGAATGTTTTGACAGGCTTTCACCAAGGGTATTTAACCCTAGGCACTGCCTTCATGTTCTAGATCACCTGCCACAACTTAGGATGAGAGGAAAAGGAAGAGCTTGATTCACTTAAGCTTTGGCCCATAACGTTCCTATCATATAGCCTGATTTCACAGAATATTCTCTTTTTTTGTTAGGCCACCAGATTCTCTTATAATTACCTCCTCTAGCTAGAATTGGAATGACCTGGATAGCTTTCATTTCCTCCCTAGAACCGTTGCTTTGAAGGATTTGAGCATTCCATTCTTTCGGACTCTCCTTTATAACATCAGCAACCTGGTTGATGAGACAATCTTGAGGTTTTGGTGCCTCAATCACCAAACTTGGTAGTTGGGGAATTCATTTGTCTTTCCAGAAATTAACATCTTTGTCATTCCTGTTTGCCACATTAACAGTGTGTTTGGTATGGTGGAAAAATGGGTGGAAGGAAAATGTTTCCATATGTTTGGTACCAAAGGAAATTATGAGGGAGTGGAAAGTGAGAGGGGATCTCTATTCTTCCAACCCACCAAATATTTTCATCCCAAATTTGGGTAGAAAATGGAGGGAAAAAGTGAAAGTAAGACAATAATTTTTTAAGTTGACTTTTTTATCCTTTATTTATTGGATGTATTTCATTCCCCATTCACACATCTTTTGTTGATCACTGGAAGATATATTTTCCTCCAAAACTAATTTGTAACAAAAATAAGGGGATTAAAAACTTTTCAAGTTAATTGAATTGATTTTTAATAAAAAAATTCACTTAATATATTTAAGGTGGAATTGTAAATTAGATATATATGTTTTTCCTTTTCTTTCAATTTTTATCTAATATCAAACGATGAAAAATATATTCCTTCTATTTTTCATTCCTCCTACCAAATAAAAAAGATAAAAAATATTTTTTTTTCTTCCTGAATAGAAAACTTAATCATTTTATTTTTCTTTCATTCCTTTTTTTCATCATTTATATCATACGGATCATAAGCCTTTCTGCTTTCTTAAGAGGCTCTCTCTCATAAAGTGCTCTAGATCCATGATGGGTCAATAATACACACTTTATGAATTTGCCCGGTGGACCAAATATCAATGTTCTGTGCCATTTGCTTCCCCTTTTTTTTGTTGAGATATTATTATAAGAAAAAGGTGATGAGGTTCAAATTCAAAATCATAATTTTTTTTTATTCAATAATCATGAATATCTGATTAATTTATGTATAATTTAATTAATTTTTTTCTCAATTTAATTAAAAGTAGGTCATCTTATAATTAACAATTCAGTTATCACTCAAAATGATCCTTAAATCAACAACCGACTCCTATTTGCTTTACCTTATTTATCCGAAATAGAGTGTATAGGAGACAACTTTTTGTCGGTACCAATCCAAAGTTAGCCACTTTGGGGCCTCTTGGACCATTGAGGGCAGACGTCACTCCTTAGAGAGGTTCGTAATATAGCTAGCCACAGCCAGCAATACAGCTATACACCCAACGCCGCCGCCACCACCACCACTCATAAAACCTTAGCATGACAGCCGGCACTTACCACATCGTGTTGAAAGACTTGCGGTTCTATCTCGGCCACTGACGACTACACAAAACGTGGTAGGGCCACGTGTTACGTCGTTATCATTCACGTGGCAACATCTCGTTATACTTTTAAACTATCCCAAAAATATTACATGAATTTAAAAAATAAATTTAAAAATTAAACTTAATAATTTTAATTATTAATTTTATTATGAATTTCAATATTTATTGAGATCTATTATCTATTCAATGATTAAAATTATCGAATTTAATTTTTAAATACATATATTATTACTCTATTCCAAATTCACGTCCCTGCTTTCACGCAAATTTATCCGACGTAATTAGCTTTTTACTCATGATTGGGTAAATTTGACCGACACGTGTAAGGAAAGCAAACTTATTTGTTGTCGGTGATAGCATTGCAGCCGGTAATGTAACTGGACACGTGTCCACACCGATCAAAAAACCATTAACAACAGCTTAAAAAGCCTCGAACTAACCAGCCCTTCCGCTTTACGTCTCTCTCTCTCTCCCTTCCACTACCGTTGTCTACGTTCTCGGAACAGCTGCCAGTATCACCACCACCCAAGTGCAACGTTTGAATTCAACGCCAACCCTTCAATTTTCCGGCTAAATTCCGCCGGAATCAACCCATATTCCCACATTAAAACTTCTCATGCTTCCCATTTCCGACAAACCCTCATCAGAACCCACTGCAAAACCCAAAACCCCAGTCTTAGACCGCAAAAACTCCTTCAACACCCTCCTCAAACCCTATCTCTCTCGCTCATGGCTCTTCATCTCCATCTTCCTCCTCCAGATCCTCCTCCTCTTTATGGCCCGCTCTCTCCCAAATTCATCCACCTCCATCTCCACCCAGCACCAACATTTCGCCTCCCCCATTGCCCCTTCTCCCTCCTCCTCTCCGATCAAAACCCACTGTACATTTGGTAAAGTCTTTATTTACGATCTCCCACCCATGTTCAATTATGAATTGGTTCAAAACTGTGACGATCTAAACCCTTGGACCTCTCGTTGCGAAGCTCTCTCAAATCATGGCTATGGCCGTAGAGCCACTGGGCTTTCCGAGATCATCCCAGAAAATCTCACCAATGCATGGTACTGGACGGACCAGTTTGCTTTAGAGCTTATCTTCCACAATAGGATGAAGAATTACAGGTGCAGAACCCTAGAGCCAGAATCTGCTACGGCGTTCTACATTCCTTTTTACGCTGGACTTGCCGTTGGGAAATACTTATGGTCCGATAATTCCACGGGGAAAGACCGTGATCGGCACTGCGAGATGATGCTAAAGTGGGTCCAGAATCAACCGTACTGGAACAGATCCAATGGTTGGGATCATTTTATCTCGATGGGTCGTATCACATGGGATTTTCGCCGATCGAAAGATCGAGATTGGGGTTCGCGTTGTATCTACTTGCCGGAATGCGTAACATCACCCGCCTTCTGATTGAGCGGAATTCTTGGGACTATTTTGATATTGGTGTACCATACCCCACTGGATTCCACCCTAGCTCTTCCTCTGACGTCAAACAGTGGCAACATTTCGTCCGTACACGTCACCGCAAGACACTCTACTGCTTCGCGGGTGCGACACGTGGATTTATCAAGAACGATTTTAGAGGTTTGTTACTGAGTCAATGTTTCAGTGAGTCTGACTCGTGCCGAGTCGTCGACTGTGGCGGGTCCAAATGCTCCAACGGTACGTCGGCGATTCTCGAGACGTTTCTCGACTCGGATTTTTGCTTACAGCCAAGAGGTGATAGCTTTACTCGCCGGTCCATTTTCGATTGCATGGTTGCCGGTTCGATTCCGGTTTTCTTCTGGAATAGAACGGCTTATTACCAGTATGAGTGGTTTTTGCCGGGTGAACCGGGGAGTTACTCGGTGTATATAGACCGGAATGATGTGAAGAATGGGAAGTCTATAAAGGGTGTTCTGAAAAAAATTAGCAGAGAGGAGGTGAGGAAGATGAGAGAGAAAGTGATTGATTACTTGCCCAATATAGTGTATGGAAAGACCAGTGAGGGGTTGGAGGGTATTAGGGATGCATTTGATGTGGCTGTTGAGGGGGTGTTGAGTAGGGTGAAGGAGCAAGAGGAGACTGGGTATAAGTGGAGGTAGGAGGAGAGAAAAAAGGGGAATTGGGGAAGAAAAAAAAAAAGAAGCTAAATGGTACAGAGATTAGAGATGTAGTAGGTGCATTTGAGATTTGATATACCTTATACATTCTTTTTTGTCAAACGTTGTACTTTGATACAATTACGGATTATAGTTATTATTTTGGTTTTCAAGTGAACTGAGTTTCATATATTGAGACTGTTGGGTACGTTTGTTGGATTTATGAAGATGTGCTAAATCTTCAGGAACTGGAAAAATGTAGAGCTAGCAGGTATGGTTTGCTTATAAATTAGTGTGTTGAAGACTCGAAAGGTAGGGATAAGTACAGTACAGAACAGACAGATTTTTTTTCTCTGTCATCTCTAGGTCTACCTATAATTATTCTTATGTTACGCATGAAGAAGTCAGAGGTCTTTTTTTTGGAGAGAACTGAAAAACAGTGAGATTGTGTTTAAAGTTATTGGCCAGGGAGTTTAAAAGAAATAAAGTTTGCGGTTTTTTTAATAAATTTATAATTTTTTACATTGGCATCATAAATTGACAAGCAAAGTGCTGTATATATTTGTCTGATGAAGTGTGATGTGGGTTCTATAATCAATACAACATTAGATAAATATGCACATGGTGTGCCTATTTTTTCTCTTTCATTGGGGGCCATGGTGTTTTTATCGCATCCACTAAATTAAATTATACTAGTGATGTTATATCATTTCACAGACCCAGTGTAAATAACAATGGGGACTGGTAACCCTTCATTCCTACACCTTACACAAAGGTGAAGTTCATTTAAGGCATGTTTATTTTGAGTATAAAATTTATGTGGTATAAGATTTTATATTCATTCTATTCCAATCTAATAGTATATTATACCCGGTGTTAAACTATAATTTCATCATTCTCCTTGTTTGTTTATCACAAATATTATTTGTGTAATACCTACTTAAAAAAGTTAACAATTGCGGCTAATCAATGTAAAAGACAATTTAATCTTTAAAAAGTCAAAAATTACGGCTAGGCTTTTATATGAGAATTGTACCAGAGGGTATTTTGGTCTTTTTAATTTATAATACTTATACCAAGAATATAATACCATCCCCTAGGTGGTATTCATTAAGATCTTCTACAAGACATTATGGTTACTGTTTATAGCGGGTCGGTATTACGACTCGAAAAATAGTATTGACTATAAAATGTCAAACAAACAACGTATAAGATGGGTCTCACGTACTATTTTTCTAATACCACATCCTTATACCACTCTAATACTCAAAACAAACGGCCCTTAATATTTTAAGGAATAGTGGAATTGATAATAAAGACGAGTTATAAATTCAAACGTCTTGAGTTTGAATTTTGATAATTTTTTGGGGCTAGATTATGAGGGATTTATCATTCATAAATACTCTAGTCTTGACGTGGATAATTGATTTTTGATTGAACCAAATCGAAGAGAGGAGATTAGTCGATGTTTGAATAAGCTGACACGGCCACTCCTGACAATTAAATAAAAAAAAAAGTGAAAATTGAGGGTAAGTCTCTTTAGATAGACTCATAATGACTTGATTTTTGAAATGAAATTTATTTAGAGGTAAGTCCATGTTTAAACTTATATATAGGTACTTAAGTCTATTTATTTTTTAAATATCAAAATTACCCTTAACGATGTTAGTTTTATCCAGTTATAGAAAGTTACATAGGTTAAATCATTGAGAAATATATAGAAGTTAACAAAGTTTGATATAGAAGTTATATTTTCTAATAGTTATATATGAAAAGCTTAATATACGAATAAATTCTTGGTCTATTAAGTCAAAATTTGATCACAAAATTTTCTTAACAACAGTAATTCATAATATATGGAGACTGAACAATGTCAACAGAGTTCAGTAACACTAATGTTAATATATAGTAACATTCATGTTACTATAGTGAATTTTGACATACAATTGCAAACCTTAAAACGTATATTATGTAATATACACTTTAATATTCACAATAACATTAAAACTTTGTGTTCAATAACACATCTAATTTTACAAAATGCAAAATAATAATTTTTTTACAGTAACATCAACTTTTGAATGATTTTAGTGAAAATACGATTCACAAATTAAAAATTTATAAAATTTATAAAATGACAAGTAGTAACACACAATCAACAATTGAATTACGACACTCAACACCAATTATGAACATTAAAATATCAAAATTTTAAACTCTATTTTTCAGTTCACGTACAGTAATATGAACTTTTTTTCACAGTACCACAACTAAGGAATATTCGATTATCTTGTGCAATAAAAATATCAACAAAATCGAAATCTATAACAAGGTTAATGTCCTCTTGAATCTGATGTATGAGTTCTCTTGAATCTTGGTTACAAGGTTAATGTCCACTTTGACAGAATTAAATTCCTAATTATTATTTCTTTTTTACCATGTTATTATTTTTTGTGAGCATGCTATTATTTTTTTAATGACCATGTTATTGTTTTTGTTGAGTATGTTATTATTATTATTTTTTAAATATTAATATTTTATCAATGTAGTCCAAAATAAACTGGAACAGTAAATTGAAATTGTATTTTATAGAATATAATGAATTTGAAATTTGAATATGAATGATTTTTGGTAAATGTCGATTTCTTATTTTTTGGATAAAGAAACATTGTGGCTTGAAAAATCGTAATCTGATTTGAAGGCGATTATGAAAGTGACGTATATGGCTGATTATTGTGTTCATAAACGTCATTTATAACATTTCTACAAGAAAGGGTTACAATAATAAAATTGACAAAAAATAGATTTAAAATTAAATAAATTTTTTAATGAAATTATCTTCAAATAAGTCCATAGAGGGATTGATTTTCAAATTTCTAAAAAAAAATAAGTCCAGTAAGTAGGGGTCAGCTGAAAACAAAATGCATTGATCATTGGCCTATTGGGTAGTAGTCCATTGTGTGATAAAGTTGATATATAAGTGACACATAAGGCTTTATGCATATTTGAATTGATACCATGCATGAGAATTTCAATCGATAGATAATGAGTCTATTCATGTGTTTTTTTTTTTTGTCTTTATTTTGATGTGATATTGTTACTCATGTGTGATCTCTGTTATGCTTGCCTTTACAAGCACCGCGTCTAAATAACTATTTGTAAGAATTTTCTCTTCCAAAAACCAAGTTGTTGGGTTCCTCTCTCTTTACTCTGCGAAGTGGAGGTAAGTGAATAATTTAATCATTCATGACTCTTTCATCGTATTGTTGGATGGATGGAGAGGGCTAGGGGTGCAACTCGGGTGGGTTAGACGGGTTGAGAGGTCAACTCTAGTCCAACACTAGATATATAATTTTCAAGTCTAATCTTATATCAACTCAAGGTATTCAATTCGAGTACTGTCCGAGATTAATTTGGGTAGGTTCGGGTTAAATTCGAATTACTTAATTCGGGCTGATTTTTGGTTAAAAATTGAGTTGACTTGAATTACTTAATTCTAGTTAATTTTTTGAAGTAAAGATTTGATTTTTCAATTATAGATTTGATTTTTTCAAGTGATCTGAAATGAGAGGCGAGACGTAGATAAAGAGAGATGGAGGTTGAGAGTCTGAAACGACTCAGACGAGTGACGATTAAGGGAGAGAGGCTAAGAGAGGGAAGAATGATGAGTGAAAAAAGGGATTTGAGAGTGAAGGAGGCGTAAGGGTTAAAAGTTGAAGTGAAGTGAAGTGAAAGTCTGAACTCTAAAAGTGAAGATAAATACTAACCTTAGTTAAATATATTTATGTATATTCGAGTTGAACCTGACAACTCGAGACCTCAATCTAAGACTTGCCCAAATTCAATTTGAGTTGAGATTTTTTGCTCAAACCCAACTCAAGAATTAAAAATTTTAATTCAAGCCTTGTTTTTTTTGAATTGGGTTCTGGTTGAATTTGAGTTAACTCGTCCAAATTGTACCCTTGGAGAGGGCTTGGAGTATGACTGTCAAAATTCGACATGATACGAATTGACAAGAATTAAGCGGGTTTGAGTGAGATTTTAACGGGTTTAGGTGATAAACGTGTTGACACGCCAAACACGTTTAATAAATGAGTCATGTTCAAGTGAGACCTAAACCGTTTATCATATGTTTACTTGTTTAAATAAAATTAATATAATAATAAATTAATAATTATTTAAAAAAATTAGTAAGAAAAAAAGAAGTAAAGAAATCAATAAAAAAAAGAAATAAAACAATAGTTCAAAGACAAAGGAGAGGAGATGAGGAGCACTTCAAAGACAAAGGTAAACCAATACTTTTTATTTTTGTCCCTCATTGAAAAATGAAGGGAGATGGGGAGAGTTGAGTTGCTTATAAAAGACAATGATCTCATTTCTTTTTTTAAGCCTTGAAGTATTATTTTTATGAGATTTGACTAAAAAATTTTCTTTTTTGAGGTAAGTATAATTGAGAATAAAAAAAAATAGAATATTAAAATTTATTGATATAATTTTTTTAAAATTAAACGGGTTAAACGAGTCGTATCTTGTTTATTTTAAAATTTTTTATCTATTTATTAAATATATCGTGTATAAATTTATATATTTTTTATTCATCACCCATTTAATTCAATACAATTGGCGCCCCAAACTTGGAGGCTAATCCAGTCGCTCGTCTAGCATGCCAATAATGTGAATTCAGCTCCAAAGTCTATCACGTACTTGCTTCTTTAAGAATCATCATTAATACCTGTACGGTATTTAACTTAGCCGAGATTCATGTGTACTGTTGGGCATCGGTTATGATACTACTTATCGGGATTGTTCTGGGTGTAGAATGATTCTTATATCACTCGTTGGAAGTGACAGAAGGTCCAACAATATAGATTTTGCTATGTGTTCGGAAATTGAAAACTGTACCCATCAAAACATGTAAGCTTATTAAGACGACGTAGTGATCATGAACTGCATTAGCTTATACCAAGAAAAATGGGACCAAGTATTTGGGGGAAGGTTACGATACCACCCTTCCAAAATTTGGTATCGCACTAAAAAGGTGTGTGAGGTCTTGTCAGTCGAAAGTTACTCACTAAATGTGGTAATTTTGCTTATAAAAATTGTATCATTTTTTTTTTGTAAACATTGTAATTTTACATATAATAGTTATAATTTTGTCTCTAAATATATATTATCTTAAAGGGTTGTAAATTTACCTCAAGAGATTGAAACTTCAGTCGTCGTTTTGTTGTGGTACTTTTACCTTTATGACTTGTAACTTAATTTTAAATAGTTATAATTTCACCTATATAAAATATAATTTAGCCTCGATTATAACCTCACCTCCAAAGATAATAATTTTACTTTGAAAGATTGTAACATTCTTTCCAAAAGTTATAACATCACCTCTAAAAATGGTATCTTTATCCATATAAGTTGTATCTTAACCATGATTGTAACCTTATATTTGAAGATAGTAATTTTACCTAATTTGGATTGATCATGATAATCTAGGATCGATCTCAATGTCTCTGATGGATCCAATTTTTATTTTTTTTTATTTTTGCGATTCCTCTCAATTAGGATCGGTCCAATGCCTCTAATGGATCCAAATTTTTTTTTTGCGGTTCTACTCAATTAGGATCGATCATGACTATTTGAGATCAATCTTAATGTATTTGATGGTCCAAAAATTCTTCCAAACTAAATTTCTTGTGCTTCCAATTAGATAGGATCGATTATGACTAGCTGAATCTTTTTTTTTTTTTCCTGAATTGGTCCTGATTCTATATTTAGTTTACATCAAATTAACACATAATTTTATGAAATTAATTTTGTATTTTATCCAACTAACACTCAATTCGTCAAAAATAACATTAGATTGACCTTCAATTGTATTAAATTAACATACAAAATTATAAATTTAAAATTCATCAAATTGATATTAAACATTAATTTAAAGGTTAATTTCATCAATTTAACATTAAAGGTTAATTTGGATTGATCTCAGATAGTCATGATTGATCCTAATTGAGTAAAAAAAATAAATTGGATCTATCAGAGGCATTGTGATCGATTCTAATTAAGTGGAATCGCAAAAAAAAAAATGGATCCATTAGAGGTATTGAGATCGATCCTAAATTATCATGATCGATCCAAATTAGGTAAAATTACTATTTTTAGATGTAAGGTTACAATCATTTATAGTTAAGATACAGGTTGTAGAGATAAAGATATCACTTTTAGAGGTGACATTATAGTTTTTGGAAGGAAGGTTACAATTTTTTAAGATAATATTATTATATTTAAAGACAAAATTATAACTATTATAAGTTAAATTACAATATTATAACTTTTATAGACAAAATTATTGATTTTAGTGGGTAACTTTCGGTTGACAAGACCTTACACTTTTTTGGTACGGTATCGAATTTTGGGAGCACTGTACCATAGCCTTCTCCAAATATGTGAGATATTTTAAAATAGTACTTGAGCCTATTTATTTAGTTAATATTGTCTGGTACTAATTTTTGACTTTTTATATTGATCCTGTATTTACCGTTGACATTCTGTACTAATTTTTGAATTGTTATATTAACCCGGTATCTACCGTTGACATAAACTCATATAGATGAGCATGTTCAATACCACCTAATGCATGGTATTATATAGCGGTAAATGACCGACGATTGTATAAGCTTCCCAAATAACTAGAACATCCTTTCTTTACTAAATGGAGTGGATTATATCAAGGTCAAATATGTTTTTTTTGTAAGTAAAGATATGACATAACAGTTGCTTATTGGTAGGTCCAACAACAACAACGGAAACAAATGTTCGCACAAATCGGGGATGAGTTTGAATTATGTATTAATAGCGATTATAAATGATGAGTTCAAAATCAATTGAATTAGACCTAATAAATTAAGAAGGCCTAAATGTCAACTAAAGGGCGGTCCAGACCCACTTTGACAGTCTGATCGAGTCTGACTCAGTTCAAGATTTAAAAAGTTTAGAGAGATAGGAGCACGCGAGAGAAACTATCGAAATACACACTCATGAAAAACCAATCTTACCTTGATTGCACTACTAAAAGAATAGTGCCCTCTCTCTCACCACCTCACCATACTTATATAATGTAAGTCCTTTTCACATAGAGGACATCACTTTGAAATCTCGAGACACCTCTATATTGCACACACTTCTCTATATCTCTTTACACACCAAGTTTCTATCTCTTAAAACATTGTAACTCCCTCAAGTATACTCTCCTAGTTATTTTATTCATCAATAAAGAATTCCGGCTATCGTTGTTGTTTCTCAAGAATGGAGTAAGTCATCTGGACCGAACCACTATATATATTTGTGTTTGCTTATATTTTATGTTTTGTCATTAATCATTTTATTTATTACTCATTAATTACACCCATTCAGATACTCGACTATTGATCTTGTACAAGACTAATTTGTGCATCATCAATAATTCTTTATGATATGAAAATACTATGGAAACAAGCTCAACGGTGAAGTTTTTTTTTTTTCTCTCTCTTGTATCAGAGCTTCAATTACAATCAATAAAATTCGATTTATTTATCAAAAATAAAAATAAATCAATTTCAAATATTTGTATAACAAAACAAAGTATTGGACACGTGTGCAATCTGTATCGTTAAATCCGACAAAAAAGAAGTTATTATTTTCATTTTGATCAACAAGGTAAAAGAGATTTATTGCCACAAAACATAATTAAGGGGGGCGATGTGTAAGGATCACCAAGTAGAAGGGTCCCATGTGTATTACCTCATACAATTACAAAACCTTTCTCCTCACTCAGCGGTCTGGATGTTTTTCCATCTAACGGTGAAAAACTCATTCGCGACGGTTTTCGCCGTCCAACGGCCCACAAACTATCCACTAACGCACATATAAATACACAAACCCTACACCTCCTTCCTTCTCTTTTCTCCTGCTACTGCAATTCACTGCCACACCCGTTGTAGCAGGAGAAATCTTCCAACACTGTTGTCTCTCTACTTTCTCCACATCTACATATACGTTTATTCATATATATCACAATGCCTTCTCTGGCTGTATCCGAAACTCTCCCCGAAATCCCCAAAGAAAAGAAGGACAAGAAGAAGAAGATGAAGAACGTCGAAACCCTAGAATTCGACTCCCAGCCGATAGGAAGAGCAAGAAAGAGAAAAAATCAAAGAAGTTGATGACAAGTTCGAAAGACTCGGAGTCTGATTCTGAAAATTCGGAACAGAGCCGGTTGGAGAAAAAGAGTAGTAAAAAGAAAGAGAAGAAGCGAAAGGTGTTGGAAATTGATGGTGATGAAGAGAAGAGTGAGACGAGCTCGGAGGAGGGCGAACCTATAAATCTGAAGGTGGAAGAGCAGAGAAAGAAGAGGAAGATGATTGTGTTGACTGAGATGGATGATGATGATGTTAAGGAAGAGGAGAGTCCGAATGCGGTATCAAAATTTAGGATTTCGAAGCCACTGAGAGAGGCATTGAAGGCTAAAGGGATTGAGGCTTTGTTTCCTATACAAGCTATGACTTTTGATACTGTTTTGGATGGTTCGGATTTGGTTGGCAGGGCACGTACCGGTCAGGTAAGAGTTATGAGAATGGTTTGTTTATTTTATGTGCTTGTTCTTATAGTTTGTGCTAGGTTATCATTTGAATGGTTTGCAAGTAGTTGAGTGAGATTTTTTTTTTCCTTCTAAAGTTCTGGGTTGTGCATTTTCTTCATGATGCTAGAATGACAATTTTGAATGATAAGGATGAGATTGTTCACTTTTGCATTGTCGCTTGAAAGAAGTGAATGATGTTAATTATTTTGAAAGTAGAAGTTCTAACGTGGGGCCTAAAGAGTGCCATGAACTGAATATGTTTGAAGTCTTGTCGAGTCGCTAGTACAAGGGATTAAAGTTGGGGTTTTTGGTTTAGCTGTTGCTGGCAAATGAGTAGGTTGCATAGCTTAATATTTTCACCCTTTAAGTGAATCCTTACTATGTCGAACCTGAGTGACAATTGTTGTGCTGTCAATTTTTGCCTTTTGGGTTTGGTTTAGATCCTTCCCCAGTGTACTGCACATTTTGACTGGTGGGAAATCACTGTTTTGCATATTTCAAATACCTACTCCTGAAGTGCATGGGGTAAGCTTATCCAGGATTAGATAGAAGACCAAAGGTGGGACTTTAGTTGTGTCACATTATGATTGGGTCCTATCATGTTGATTTTGTATTGAAAACTAGTTACTCCTTGTGCGAGATGTTTACTTAGTTGTGCTAGATGATCTGAAACTAACCTGATCTTTTAGCTAAGTGACCCAGCTATATCTGTTACCCAAAGAGCCCTATAAATTTAAAATCTATTTTATCCAAATATTAGCGGAACCAAGTTAAAAATGGTTCTAATGTGCCCTATAAATTTAAAATCTATTTTATCCAAATATTAGCAGAACCAAGTTAAAAATGGTTCTAATGTTACAAAGGATTGATACAATATGTGGCTACAAAATAAAAACAAAAAGTTAAACATGTTCTTCTGAATGGGTTTGTCGTATTGAAATCAGTTTATTCATGTTTTCACTCTAACATGATCCATTTATTATTTGTGTAATTTTTGGTATTACTTGTCTATTCTAACCAATTCAATCCACTAATTTTGTATAAGGTTTGTTTTGTGTCTGAAATTTGCATCCCTAAATGGGAGTATAAGCTTCATGGGACTTTTGGCTTGCTTAAGTTGTGCATTGGAGGGGTATAACATGGGCCTGCTCCAGTAAGTAAATGCAAGTTATTAGCTCATGTAGTAGCATCCAAAATGCTGTGTCCTGTGAGCTTTGCCAATTCTTCCCCTTTTTAATATGTATGAAGAGGAAGTTTGGGAACAGATTGCACAAGGATAAGCTCTTTTCTTGTCCTACCCTCTACAGGTTTTCACTCACCAAAAAGTAGCTGCATATGCACTCATTAGAAGTTTGGTCTAGATACATACGACTTTGTAACCTATGAATGTAGTCTATCGAATAAAACTGACCAGGATTTCATATATATACACACTAGTCATAACTCATGTCTCAAGACACGATGAAATTTAAGATTCTAGCGTTCAAAAAATTGATTCCACTATACCAAATTTAAAAGTAATTTATTTGCGTACATCATTTAAAATTAATTTCTACTTATTATTTTCTTAAAAATAGCGTCAAAATTTTTTCAAATGCATAACTCGATAAATTTTTTTCTACATGTATACACTATTGTATATGAATAATGTATGAAATAAAAGTTGTGTTAAACTACAAATTAACTAAATATTAAATGATTGAACATGTGATAGAATTGGGTGATGTAATTTTTTTGGAGAAAAAATGTATAGGAGATAAAATTCAACTTGCTAGCTGATATATATATACTAGTCATAACCTATGCCCGAAAGTACGATGAAATATAAAATTCGAGGCTAAAAAAAATTTATTTCACTATATTAAATAATAAATTTTCTTTGTTTATCCATTATTTTCTTAAAAATATAGACAACTTTTTTTTAAAATACATAATTTGAAAAAAATTCTCACCATATGTATACAATAGTGTATGAATAATATGTGAAATAAAATTTATATAAAACTTTAAATTAATCAAATATTGAAGTAATTGAGCATGTGATAGAAATTGGTGATGTGATATTTTTTTGGGGAAAATATGTAGGGGATAAAATTCAACTTGTGAGCTATTTTATTACTCGTAGTTAATTGGGAATAAGTTTGATTGCCATTTTTGTTTTTCAATTTCAAATTTCTTGCTGTTCATTTACTGCTTGGTCATGTATCCAATGCTAGTTCTTTTGTTATGCTTACAATCATATAGGGAAAAACATTGGCCTTTGTATTGCCCATATTGGAGTCCTTAATAAATGGACCTACAAAAGCTTCACGAAAGACTGGATATGGGAGGGCACCGAGCGTTCTTGTACTTCTACCCACAAGGGAACTGGCCATTCAGGTATTGTGCAATCACCAGTGTAAGGAACTTTTTATCTTTTGACAATGTCCTTTCCAGACTCAATTTTCTAATTATTTGTTTTCAATTATAGGTGTCTGCTGACTTTGAAGTCTATGGTAGGGCATTAGGGCTATGTTCATGCTGTTTATACGGGGGAGCTCCTTACCATTCTCAACAAATGCAATTGAAAAGAGGGGTTGATATAGTTGTGGGAACGCCTGGCCGTGTTAAGGTAACCTTCTCATTAATTTGATATTTGAACCCTAATAGTTTCAAAATTGATTTTTTTGCATTTGATATTGGTGACATCAACTTCCCTCAAAATCTGTGTAGGATCACATAGAACGGGGAAATATTGACTTCAGCTCATTAAAGTTCCGTGTCCTTGACGAAGCTGATGAAATGTTGAGGATGGGGTTCGTTGAAGATGTTGAACTTATTCTAGGTATGTCATTAATCCTATCCTGTACTTTGGCTTGATTTTAATCGAGTTTTTTGGACCATATTATAGAGTACTGTGCAGTATCAATATCTTTTTATATGTGACACAATATAACTGGTGTTTTCTGTGTGGGCTTCGATGATATGGACCGGAAAAGGTATTAGTAATTCCCAGTTTTTGAATTTTGAAGGTAAGGTAGAGGATGCAAGCAAAGTCCAAACACTTCTTTTCAGTGCCACCTTGCCAGATTGGGTGAAACATGTTTGTTTCTTTTCTGACATCTTTCTTTAGAATTATTGTTTCTGATTGATTCCTATAAAACTTATTCTGTGATTTCAGATGTACCTCAGTTTCCCTTGTCTGACCTCTCATACCATCTTTTTATCCAATCTCACTTAAACCTGTGTTTTGCATGGCCAGATTGCATCTAAGTTCCTGAAACCAGACAAAAAGACTGCAGACCTTGTTGGTAATGAGAAAATGAAGGCTAGTACCAATGTGAGGCATATTGTTCTTCCCTGCTCTGCTTCAGCCAGATCCCAGCTTATTCCTGATATCATTCGCTGTTATAGCAGGTCGGCCCATCTATTTTTTTATTACGAATTTCAAATGGTATTTATAAAGCTGTTGAATACTTCTTTCCTTTTCATATCTTATTGGATGTTATTGCTTCAGTGGAGGTCGCACAATTATTTTCACCGAGACAAAAGATTCTGCTTCTGGACTTGCTGGCTTATTGCCTGGAGCACGTGCTTTGCATGGGGACATACAACAGGCTCAACGTGAGGTAAAAGAAATACCCATTCTACTGCTTTTTTATTGATTTCTCATTTGTAAACTGGACGGTAATGTGTAAATTACTTCTTAAATTTGTTTCTTCCAGGATTTTCATTTTCCTTTTTTCTGGAAGAAAGTTCCTATTTATTCTCATCTAACTATATATAGATAGCAAAGTAGTTGGTCATCCCAATGAGCTTCAAAACATCAATCCTAACTTTCTACATTTATGTTTTTTTAATTCTTTAAAATATTACATGACTTTTTATGGTTGGCCTCTTTTAGTTATTGAAATTATTAATTGCATTAAATGAAAAAATCAGCTTGAAACTGATATTTATCACATCTCTCTCTCTCTCTCTCTCTCTCTCAATTTCCTATATTTATGTCTTGAATAACTTCCCACTTATGCAATTTCTCATTATTAGTTTGTGCATTGCATGAGGTGATTGCTAGTGTATACATATAGTCAAAGGTGTTTTGAGAATGTATCGAAACTAAGCATCGTAGGTAAAACGTTTGGTAATAATTGAAATGATTTTTTTAAGATATGCATATATCGGCTGTCATTGCTCTCAGCTAAATAGGTGCCATCATGTTTTTAGCTGCTTCAACATCACTTGCAATCTTTAATTGATTGTGTGTAGATATTTTACAGTACAATTCAACTTGAGTTTTATTGTGCTGTTGAACGCATGAAGGAGTGTATCTTTCACCATACATCCTAGATTTTGTATGTAAATTTTTTTTATTGATGAATTGGAATGTGGTGCAACACTTCCAGGTTACACTAGTTGGATTCAGATCAGGCAAGTTCCTGACATTAGTAGCCACAAATGTAGCTGCGCGGGGATTGGACATTAATGATGTCCAATTGATAATCCAGGTTTGTCTTTAAAATCATACGTAGTTTATAACTATTTGGGATTTCAAATCACATATATATTGAAGATATCCACCTTGATTTGGACATCAATTTGTGTTTATTCTTTAGTGTGAACCTCCACGTGATGTTGAAGCATATATTCATCGATCTGGACGGACAGGGAGGGCAGGTGAATTTGCTGATATTTGGAATTTTTTTGATCTTGAATATTTGAATGGTTGGAGTTTGATGACTGAGTTGAATTGCATTATTTTTTTTCCAGGGAATACGGGTATTGCTGTGATGCTGTATGATCCCAGGAAGTCGAATTTTTCTAGGATAGAAAGAGAATCCGGTGTGAAATTTGAGTACATATCTGCTCCTCAGCCGGCTGATATTGCTAAAGCTGCTGGCATAGAAGCAGCAGAAACAATCACCCAAATCTCTGATAGGTAACTTGCCATTTGTATTGTTTAATAAATGCTTTAAATTCTGTCTCTCCATATATTCATTTATACTGTGAAAATTCTGTAGTGTTATTCCGTCCTTCAAAGCCGCAGCTGAGGAACTACTGAATACCTCTGGTTTATCACCTGTGGAACTGCTTGCAAAGGCACTTGCCAAGGCTGCTGTGAGTTCTGTTTCTTTTTTCCATGTAATTCTGAAGTTCAGGTTATAACTGTGGCTAAAAAAATGGCCCTCCTACTTGTTTTACAGGGATATAGTGAGATTACGAGTAGATCACTTCTCAATTCCATGGAGAACTATGTCACTGTACTTCTTGAGGCTGGAGGATCTATCTATACGCCTTCGTGAGCCCCTGAAACACATTCTCTTACTTTTTAGATTTGTGTACTGAATTGTGTTGTGGTTTTATCATGGTTTAGTGACAACTAACAAGTTCACTCACCTTTTAAGTTTTTCAGTGCTGGTAATCTTTATGGGTGGAAACTATTTGGTGGTGGGGGGGTCTAGCACATAAAAGAACTAAAGAATCCTTGCTTCATTTGAGGCTCGGAAGCAAGTTGTTGAACACCATGATATTTAGTTTCTTTGAGCAATTGCAAAGTTTTCATGCTGTGTATTGGGATGTGCAACATTTAGCACTTGCTGTAAACTGAAACAACATTTAGCATTGCTGGCCTGGAAGTTGCATATGAACATAATACTGGCTGGTGATATTGATAATCTGCACATTGTATTGTACTGTCATAAATCAAGGGGAAATTTGCTCAAAAAGAGAGAGAATAGGAGAGAACAAGAGAAGGGGGGGGGGGGGGGGGAATTCTAGTATGTTCTCTGTACACTTTGATCTATTGACATCATGTTGACATAATGATATTTCAGCTTTGCTTACGGTGTCCTGAGGAGGTTTTTACCTGAAGAGAAAGTTGAGTCAATTATGGGTCTTGCTCTGACTGCTGATGGAAAGGGGGCGGTGTTTGATGTGCCTGCTGAAGATTTGGACACATTCCTTGCTGGTACATTTTTTCCCTGATAATTAAGTGTGTAAATAGGGGAATGCCTTACAAGAGAGGGAACCTTTCTTGCTGGCAAATACGACTACAATTTGGCACCACCATTCATCAGATATATTTCATGCACTAGATACTTCGAAACAATGTTTCACAACCAGGATTTCCATTGCCCCATTTGAATTTTACTTTAGTTAGTGAGAAATACTAGTTTATAAAATCGACACAGGTCTGCTAAGATTTTATCGTTATTTTTCCCATCTTGGGGGGTTGCAGGCCAGGAAAATGCTGCTGGTGTGAGCTTAGAGGTGGTGAAATCATTGCCACAGTTGCAGGAGAGAGATCAATCAAGAGGGGGAAGATTTGGAAATGGTGGTCGTGGTGGTTTTGCTGATAGAAGAGGTGGCAGAGGCGGTAGATTCTCCGGAGGAAGGGGTGGTTTTTCTGACCGAGGAAATCAGAGATTTTCCAAAGGCCCTACCGGAGGGAGAGGTCGTGGCAACAACCGCAGCAGATGAAGAGCTCTGAACCTGTTGTGTAACTTCAAGTAATGGAGAGAGCATTGGTTTGCTTCAGGGCCCTGACAATTTTGTTAATTTGATATACCCATATTCTATTTTATCAAATTGTTATTTAATCCCTTGCCACATTCATGATTTTGTCTATATCTATGAAGATTTGAGCGATACATTGAGATTTTATTATATATGTTTAATAAATGAGCTAATTGAATCTAGTTAACATACCATGTATACACAACAAAATACAAATGTAATCATGCATGATTATATAAATAAAATGATAGGAATTGGGTAAATTTTGAAAAAATATGAAAATTATATTCATAATCCTATTTATCCTTGTTATTAAAGTGGTAAAATTGACGAATTATAAATAGAGATAATCTTAACGTAATATTTTTGACGAATATGAGAAAAAAAAAAAAAAACACGGTCCACCGCTGTGTCCCAAACGAAACTTCGCAAGGCGCCACTTCAAAACACCGAAACATGTCAAGACGACTTCTAGACGCGTTCACAGCTGCCTCCACTCCCCGATCAACACACCCGTCACCGTATTATCCATTCCAATTCATCGGCAGATCACTCAAAGTTCACGTCTTTCGCATACCCCCCTCTCTCTCTCTCTGATGTTCACCGGAAAAAAGTACTTTATATAAGGAAAAAAAAAGTCAGCTTTTGAATGGTTTTCTGTGATACACATGTTTGAGGTCTGACTGATTTTATAGTATCTCTCTAAGAGCATGGGGTGGAGCAGAAGATCTAAGTATGCTTTCGACGCGCTTCGAAACTTCACTTCAAAGATTGTACCCAAAAATCCAATTCGCCCCACAAACCCAATTCGAGAGTCCATTCAAAAAACCAACCACCAGTTTTCTTCTACACCCAATTTGAATCAATCTCGGGGTTCTGGGTTTGCTTTTTCTTCTTCACCAACTTGTAGGATCTTGGGTTTTGAATTTGGACTCGAGCAGAACCAATACAGTCCTTTTCTTCATGGTATAAAAAGATATTACTCTGTGGATCGATCCAAAGTTAACCATTTTTGGTCACGAGGGCCTCGAAGATGGTACAAGAAACCAAGGATAGTTTTGACTGTGACTTTGGTGGGTGGGTTCAGGGGTTTTGATAACCGAGTAAAATTGTTATATGTGCATGCCTTTGTCCAAAAAAAAAAAAATAAATAACCGTGTACTATGGGCATTTGGAGACTGTACCATACACTAATCGAAAGCATTTCGTGCTTCTATCGCCAGAGCTCGAGAAACAGCTGGGAGAGAAACAATTTCATCAAATCAAAGCGGTGTTCAAAGAGAAAATTCTTCTGGCAATTCACCCAGAAAGTGTAAGGGTGAGATTGATAGCAAGACATAATCGAAGCTTTAGAGCAATTTCAAAGGCTAGTTAAAACCCTTCTTAACTATTTTATTTTAGATAACTTCTCTCCAAAAAATGGCTCCAACAGGCTATCTATACCCTTATCTATTTCCAATAATCCCCTTTTCCCTCGCTTGATCTAGCTAGCCCCTTCTCCCTCGCTTGGCGCCAAATTCCTCTTCACTCCCCCTCTCTCTCTCTCCACCGACTGAACTGAAGGCTTCATCGCAAAGCAGGTATGGTCTCTCCACCGATGAAGTTGTTGTTGGTTGTTGATTGTTCTTGGTTTGGGTTGTGTTGATAACTGCGAATCTATTATCGTCGATTGAATAGTTGTCGTTGAATCGTTGGATCTGGTTTGGGTTGTAATGTTTTTGGTTCAATAGTTATGTTTTTGGGATCTGGAATCGTTGGATCTATTGATTGGTGCCATTGATTGTCGTCGGTTTAGTTTGTGAAGGGGAAGATTGTTATTCTGTTGATTTTCCTTAATTCTATCAACATTTAGTTTGTGAAGGAGAAGACCCTGTTTGGCTATTGATTGTCCATTCCTTCGTTAATTTCCTTTTTCCCTTACTTCCTGTTTTCATAATGTTCCAAATATGTTCTCATTTCTACGTTTTTAGCAAATTCTCAATGCATTGTGATTCAAAGTCAAGCTGCAATTAGGAGGTTATTTACTAAATTAGCAGTAAAAATGGATCTCGAATTTAATTGCTTTCTAATTCCTCCAACTCATCGATTTTTTTTTGCAATGTAACCATCAAATGCATCATATTAGTTCCCTATTCATTTAATTGAGGGGATAAGGATCCCTTCTTGCTCATGGTTTAATTTGATTTGTGAATTACTGTTATTTACTCCATCAACTTTGTTTTTTCACTTCATTATGCATAAGAGGTGTTGAATTGTAAGGTTTTTACAATTATATTTTCAGTTCTATTTGGAGTTGCCTTGGATGTCCATTGCTGTTAGTTTGTAGAAGGGAATGTATGGGTCTATTATTTTTGTGTAAGTGGACAATCTGAAAAGGTTTCAATGACTATATGCTGGATGAACACCATCATTATCAAGCATAAAATTTATACTCGCCTTGTATTTATCATGTAATTATTTTTAACTTCTTTAGGTACAACATCACACAGCACTCTAGTGCAATTGTGTTGCTCATGCAGCACGGTCTTCCTGTATGGGAACCATTTTTTACTCGCTCTTTCCTCATAAAGTTCATGGTTTACTTCTTGACCCCTCATACAATATGAGCAATCCTCTGTTTTGTTGATGGCCTAACAGAACATACATACATAACCTTTGGTGGAGCTGTTTATGTGACCAACTATGGTGTTACTTGTCTCATCTTATAGGCATTACTCATGAATCCATTTCAACATGGTGCGTACTTCACTAATCTCATGTATGATGGAACAAATTTAGATGATGAGGTTATAGGTCAATCTTCACCAATATCTTTTCAAATAGAATTTACCATCAAAAAATAACGAGGTAACAATTTTACAGCAGAGGAAGACATTATGATAATTTTGGTGTGGCTTAATATTAGTTTGGATGCTGTGCAAGAAAATGAGCAAAAATCAAAGACATATTGACAAAAGGTTGCGAGTTCTTCTACGAATATAGACCTAAGACATGTCCTAGTCGTAGTCAAAATTCTTTGATGAATCGTTAGTCAGTAATTCAGCTAGCCACCAACAAATTTTGCTGGTACTTTGCACAAATAGAAAGACTGAATCAAAGTGGTTTGATAGAGAAAGACAAGGTATGAGTGAATATTTTCTTATAAAATGGCGCACTTTTAATGACATGATAATGAGTTTTGTTGTAAAATTTTTCAGATTCGTGATGCCAGGAACTTGTACAAGGGAATAAATAAATCTTCTTTTTAGTTTGAATATTGTTGGAATGAGTTAAGGTATCAACCAAAATGGATGGAGGATTCTCAAGCAAAGAAGTAAAAAATAAAACATAATGTAATTCCTGACAGCTCCGTATCTTCTATAGCGGACTTCGTAAGTTAAGGAGATTATGGTGGGTCCTATGGATCTTTAGATAAGCCACCTAGAAGGAAAGCTAAGAAAGTACGACTACAAAAATCAAAGAGTAAAGAAGTTGGAGGTGATGCAACAAGTTCTGAACTCGTTAATCTGTTAGTAGAGATGAAGAATGAGAAAAAAATAATTAATGAGAAGAAATTTGAAATGTTTGAAAAATGTTATCTTCAAGAACAACGTCTACTGCAAGAGAAAAAAAAAATGCAAATGGAGCAACAAATAGAGGAAAAATAAATAATGTCGATGAATACGAGTTGTATGCCTTTATTGCAAGCTGAATATTATCAGCACCGCCAAATAGAAATCTTGGGTAGTTCTTTTTTATTAATAGACAAACTCTTTTTTATTGAGTTTGTTCATTTCAATAGCACAAATTACTACCATCTCTAATTCATCATCGGAGTCTGAATCTTTAAGAATCATGTTCATTGTAAGATGACGAGCCATAACATAAAAACAAAGAATAGTGCAATGCCAATAAATAGATTTAAGGTGTATGACAATGAGAGATGAAAGATCATATTTATATATATCCAAAAATATGACTGTTGTAAGTATGACCATTGAAAAATTTAAATTTTAAAATTTTGAGTTTCGTAACTGTTGTAAATATGACCGTTATTAATAAAAATTAAATTTTAAAATTTTGATGACGTGGCGTAACACGTCAGCATGTGATGTTATCAATATGATGATGACATGATATACTACATAGTATTTTAGATTTTAATAATTAATAGTTAATTAAAGTTAGTTAAAGTGGTTAGTTAAAATAGATAAAATTGTTGGAATAAATTTGAAAAAATGGTTAGTTAAAGTAGATAATATAATATTTAAATATATTTTAAATAACTATTTTATATAGCATAATTGAAATTGTTCTTACAGAGAGAGTTGAGGAAAGAACAGATGTGGAATGATCCTACATATCCGTGTGAGGGTATTGGAGCTCATTAGATAAGTGGGCATGGGACTTTAATGGCGTTGAGGGACAGTTCGGAGGGGAAGTGGCATAGAGAAGATGGGGTTCTTGATGATGGTTGGGTTCGACCGAGTAGGAAAAAGGGGCAAGAGAAGGGGTTGTGGCCAGAGACGAGGCATTTGGAGGGATTGAATTGGGAGGTGTTGGTGGTGGATGAACCTGTCATTAATGCATTTTGTTTACCTGGTGGGAAGATTGTTATGTTTACAGGGCTGCTTCAACATTTTAGGTTGGCTGAAGAGATTGCAACCGTACTTGAGCATGAAGTAGGTTTTGCCTCTTATTTATTTTTTTGTTTTCAGGACTATGACGTCGAGTTTTAAATATTTTATTTAAGTACAATCTGTTAGTTTTTTATTCAACCAAGAGCCCAAGTCGTCTATAAACAAATATAGTTTGTGTTTGAGTTTAACCTCAAGTTTAAATTAATGTTTAAATTAAAAAAGAGAATGAATAGTGTTTTAAATTATGTTCACGAGTTGTTTTTTCGAGTCGATCTCAAGCTTCGGCTCAATAGTTAGAGGTGTCGAGATCAATTAACGCGTACTTCGATTAATTTTTTTTTTGTCAGGTTAAAGGTAGACTATCTACGATGAGACTAAGGTATTCACGAGAGATAACTTCTTTATGACCTAATTTTAAAAGATTGCTAAAATTTAAATTCATAATATCTATGTTTGTAGCTTATCTTTGTTACTCTCTCCGTTCTTAAATATTTGTCGTTTAAGGTTTTTACATAGGGATTAAGGGAGCTATTAAATAGCTCTAATATGAGTAAAAAATAATTGCACAAGACTAAAATACCCTTTTTCAATAAGTATTGGGAAGGAAAGGAATATGAAAGACACTTAGCCTCCACCTAATCTAATGCATTGAAAAGTTAAAGGTAAATTTGGAAGAAAAAATATTAATTATGCTTTGGTTTCATTAAACGACAGATATTATGGAACAAAAAAAATTGTGTTGAAGTTTCTTGAAAACAGAGAGAGTATTACTTAAATTACTTGTCAGAGTTTCTTGAAGTGCAACCCTAATTTGAGTGGATTGGTGCTTAAAGTTTGGTCATTTACTATTTTGTTTTTACTGGGTTTGAGACCTTTTTTTTTTGGGTCATTTCTTAATTAGGTTGGGCATGCTGTGGCACGACATGCAGCTGAAAAGCTTACAAAGAACCTGTGGTTTGTTATCCTACAATTGGTTTTATATCAATTTGTGATGCCTGATATTGTCAACATAATGTCAATACTATTCCTTAGGCTTCCTTTCTCCAGGAGGTATGCCTCCTGCCTGTTGTTTTCACTTTCCTTCTAACACCACTAGGTTATTGTTGAAAGTTAATGCTAATTGGTTTTACAGGATTAAATATGAGCTTATACTAGCCAGGTTTCCCAATGTTATGGACTTGTTTCATATGTTGTTATGGGTGCTGTTGCGTTCTTCTTTATTTATTCTATGATGCCATTTTGTTTTCATGTTCCGTCTTGATTCATGTATGACTTATTGATTCATCATTTTTTATGTTATTGAATTATGATCAACCTATATATATTTCGTGTTATTTAAAGATTAGCTTCATTAGTGTTTCAATGGGATTACTCGGGATTATCCGGGTCTACCATTGAGGAAGAGTGATGTAATATTTATTGACGTAGGGTACAGGTGTACGAACGAGCATGAGTGACATAACAAATGAAGGGGCATTATAGGTGTGACGAATGCATACTTGGATTAAACGATAGCTACAAAATTTTAGCAGGAATAGAAAGAATGTTTGAGAAGTATAGTGGGGGTCCCTATGATAGCTATAAACACAATTAGCTAAATATATATAGTAGCTATGATTAGACATCTGGTTATAATCAAGGTGTAATTTATCCTCAAAAAAAGAAAAAAAGAAAAAAAAATAGGCCAGGATGGGTCCCTATGATTTCTCTGTCCTTTTCTTCTGTGTGATCATGTTAAAGTTTTTCCTGATTAGGATGTAGATGAAAGCAGACTACATTGGGCTACCGTTGATGGCTTCTGCAGGGTACGACTCTAGAGTGGCACCCAAGGTCTATGAGAAGCTGGGGAAAATCACAGGCGATTCGGCTTTGAGAGATTATATTTCTACTCACCCTTCCGGGAAGAAGAGAGCTCAATTGCTGGCTCGTGCAGAAGTCATGGAAGAAGCACTCGCCTTATATAGGAAGCCATAACAGGACGAGTGGTTGAGGGTTTTTTCCTCTATGAAAAGAGACATTAATTCACTCTTGTGGTGTTATGCCTCTTGTGTGCTTTGGAGCAAGAGCAGGCTACTACCCTCCCCTACCCCCAACGTCCCAACCTTTTTTCCACCCATGGAAATATGGGTGTTTATGGGTCGAGTTATCCATGAGTTCTGTTACCTAGTTCGAAATCTGATAGTTGGCCTGCTCGAGCCTGATGCCAATATCCTTAGAAAGAGAGTTTTAGTTTACCCTAGGCCCATTACCTAGTCTGAAGGCCGACCCAAGAGCCCGCTCGTCAAACTGGCCTGCCAAGCCCAACCCGCCCACATAGCCCGTCCACCCTTTATTTGAAAAAAATTTATACTTTTAGACCAAACTTTGAAATAAGTCTCTAATATCGAAATTTAAAATTTTAAAAATTTAGATACTATAAATAATGTATTATTTTATTTTTCATGTATTAAATATACAAATTTTAAAGGGTAGAGTAAATGATAGATAAGTAAGTAGATGTCAACCTAGTTGAGATGTATTCATTCAATTGGATGTAGTTCATCTCCTAATTAAAAATAAAAATATTCATTATTTTTTTTTTATCTATTTTAACTCTATTTTTGATTCAAAAATATAATTTATACAAATATTAAGTTACAAAAATATTCATTATTTTTAAATGAAGTTGTATATACAAAAACCAGCGAGCAGGCCAGTCCAACAAACCCGCCCAATAGGCTCACGAGTTGGGTTGTAGATAGCCTATCCTACGTGAAGCCCGACCTGACCTGCTTGATAACTTACTTGGGTAAGGACTTAGACCTACACTACTCAGGTCCGACCCAACCCATGGACAACCATACATGAAAAACATTGTTTTTGAAAATTTTGTTGTACAGTTACTGCACAGGAGATTTTTTGCAATAGATTGAGGTAGCGATCACCTATATGATGAACTTGAAACAATTACAATGTCAAAAAAGGGGCCGGGTGAACACCCGGCTCGTCCCCTCCGAATCTTAAGTCAGTATAAGATTGGAGGCTTGAATACAGTGTATTCTCTAATTTAGTTCTGTTTTGCGTACCTTTATTCATTTTTTTGATGAGTATTTATACCTAGGTTAGCAATGAGTGCAAAGGCTTTAAGTCCCATATTAACATTTAATGTATGACACTCTTACCCATGCGCAATGAGTGTTCTCCACTCAAATCTTTATACCTTTATTGCTCGGATGATGAGACAAGTGCTCGGGGCCATACCGAGAACTTATGGCTATTTCCGGGAACTCAAGTTCCTCTGATCGGCGCCTGACACCTACTTTCGAGTGTTTAATGCTCGGGGAATGGTACCTCGGGGCACTCCGAGGAGGTATACTCAGTATACTAGCCATTAATGCCTAGCAATCATAACTGTATGCTTAGGTCTTGGGGATGTAGGGGCTCATTAATAGCCCTGTGTCAGTCATTCACATCGCTATAAATAAGTGGTCGAGTTGTATTAAATGCGAGTGTCAGTTTGTGTACTCGGCTCCTCCGAGCCATTGCTCCTCAGTGCCATTCCTCGGTGCCTTTTGAGTTCCATAACGGCTATACCTTCACACGTGTCGATTTGGGGGTTGTTAAGTCGCCTGGAGTCTCATCAACTGCCCCCATCCTCCATTTCTTTGCGACGTGGGATAGGTAGCGCAAGAAGAGTGGTGGCTTGCTGAACACGCTTTATTAGTAGGGGCAGTTATTTGCACGTCTGGCGCTGACTTTTTCAAATTTCTTAATGATGACACGCCTTTTCGATTTTTGCCCCTCTTAGCAGGGTATAAATAGAGGATCCTTCAGCCATTCAAGAACTTTGCATCGTCCTTTAGCCTATGATTGATTAACCCCTGAGCACTCTTCCTTGTCTTCCCGAGCACTTATCCTTTAAAGATTTTCACTCTGTAAGTATTTCTTCCCTTTTGATCTTCTTCCTCATTCTATCATCCTTTTACATTTCTTTTAGACTCCATCCATGGCTAGAACTCGTAGAATAGTGGAGGGGGCACCTGTTAGGGCTAGGGCCAATCGTAAGTTGAGGAGGACTGAGGTGAACGAAGACAATATTCAAGCATTTAGGGATAAATACCAAATTTTCGAGCTTGTTTTCACCTTCCTTTTCGATTCTCATTACCACCGTAGGGATATAGGGAGTGTAGACATGAAACCCTTCTGGACCAAAGCTGTCATGGAAGGGGGGTTACCTTTCCTCTCCATCCCTTCCTTCTGAGGATGATGATGCACTTGAAGTTTTTCCCCTTTTAATGTGGCGTCAACTTCTTTAGGCTGGTCATGGGCGTGGTTGCCTTCAATGCTCGGCTTGGGGTAAATCTCGAGGTAAACAAGATCCTGTTCTGCTACGACTTGAGGCTAGTCGCGTGGGGCAGGTACTACCTCCAGTCTCGTAACCCCTCCATATACCTGTTGACCCATATGGCGGACTAGGACAAGGGGTATATTGATGATTTGATCATGCTTGGCGACAGTTGAGAGAAAAGTGATGGGTCCGAGTATGACGGATTGTACTGTCCCAAAGTGCCGAGGGATCAAGGTGTGTATTGCGCGTTTTGGGATTGTTCGGCATTTTGTTGTCATTTTTGATCTTGGTGGTTTATTTTTGCAGAATGATACAGGCGTGATTCTGCCCAGCCTCTAAGGTCCCAAGTCAAGTTTGAGGATCTGTTGAAAGTCTGGTCTTACAACTAGGCTGACCCCTTCTCCCGAGCAGCACATGTCCTATTAGGCTACCACCCCACTTATACCCGATTCTCTCAAGTTCCTCTGCCCTTTGACCCCTCCATCTGGCAAGACCACTCCTCGGAGGAAGAGGAAGAGGACCTCAAAGCTGAGTTAGAAAGAGACGTCGAGCGCACCCTTTCTCCAGAAATGTTCAACTTTCCTCTCATCACCTCAGAGATACTTGAAGCTCGATCAAGGGCGAGGCTTTCGGGGGCTGGCGAACCTTCTGGGATTGCCCAGATTGTCCCCTCTCCGCCACGCCAATAGCCTCCTCCATCGCCGCCAAGTCGACAAGAGTCCCCCTCGGTTGTCCCACCGAGGGACCCGTCACCCAGGCGACAAGTGCCTCCCTCGGACGATAGGCCTAAAGACCGATGCAGTCGGGACCCCGAGGAGTTGAGAAGCGTCGAACCAAGCAGCGTCATGATGTCTTGGCGTCAAAAACGTTTGCTGAGTGGCCCCCCCGAGTACAGACAAGGAGGGGGCACCCCGTGTTGGAGTCTGACTCCATTATTGAGTCCCCGGACGTCGCTTTTGCCATTGTTGGGAGATTCCAGCTCGATGTCAACATGGCCACATACCGAGCCTATGGGGACAACAGGCTCTTGTAGAGTATTGTCCATAACAACATGTTGGTGAGTGTTTCGATGATCCTTAACTTTTTGCTTTGCTTATCTGGCCATCTCTTACTCGGGTCTTTTTGCTTTAAGGCATGCCAGCAAATGGGGGCCGTTATCGACTGCTTCTGGTAGTACAAGCAGGAAACGAGGAATGCCCGGAATGAGCTGACTCAAAAAAAGGAATATATTCGGGGGAGAAAACGGTCGACGATCAAACCAAACACATCGCTGACCTGATCCACAAGGACGAGGCCCTCATTGCTGAACTTGACAAGGCAAAGGAAGCCGAGGCCACGGCTGTAAAACAAATAGAGGAGATTGAGCTTCGACTTTCTGCCTCCGACGTCAAGCTGATCGACGCCGAGGCCCTTGTCCACGAGTTAATCGCCAAGGTGCATGCCTTGGAGGCAGAGAAGACGGGGGAGTCCAAGAGGACCAACAATGCGCTGTTGGACTTGTACAACCGCTGCCAAGGTGACATGGTACCGGCCTTTGAAGAAGCCAAAAGAAAAGCCTTCAAGGAGGGTTGGGACGGGGCCTTGCATGTCGCCGGGTTGAGGTCAGTTCCCCTTTATTCTGGATGCATCGTCGTCTCGGGGAGACCAAAGAAGGTATTGCTCCCGAGGGCAGTCTCAGCCCGGGGCGACCTTCATAGGACCAGCCGAAGGGGAGAGAGGAGTTGAAGGCCAGAATGAACCCATCACACTTAGTGATGGCTCTAATTTGCCCTCTTCTCCTACTCTTCCTTCTCCTCCTCCCCTCGATCAAAGCGGTGCCCTCCCCTAACTACCTCCCCTTATTGTCCTTGGGGCAGGTGACACCGAGCTCGACGAAATATTTGGCGTTGGGGAGTCACTAAGGAGGCGTGGCGAGGAAGTTGGTGGCGGAGATCAAGCTGATGCAGAAGGCCTCATGGATTCTTAGTTTCTCTGCTTGTACCGACCTCTCTTCTTTTCTTTTACTCTATAAATCTCTCATCTGTAAGCTTTTGGGGACGCAAAGCCCTTTTTTTATCAATGAAATTTTCTTTCCTTTATGTTGTGATCTGTACTTCGTCAAACTGTTCCTCACACTTTTAGGTGATGAGTGAGTTTTATACCTACGAATTGAGTACTTTCGGTTAATGAAATTGTAAAATTTTAATTATTTTATGTTCCTTTTTATTTGTTTTGTGTGTTTTGATGTTATTTAATAAGAATCATCATTTGGAAGCAAACAAGATCATTTGGAAGCAAATAAGGTCAATTTAGAGCCTAAATGAGGGATTTTTGAAGGCTGAGCAATAAGGGAGTTGAAGGCTTAAAAAAGGCTAGCGTTGTTCTAGCACGGAATCAGCGCCCTTGCGTCCCCATTCTGCCCATTCAGCACCCCCGGGCTTGTGTTGGTACGTGACGCGAATTTTAACTTGTTTTTGACCCGAAATTAGACTTTAAAGCTATATATATGCTAGGGTTTGTGTGGAGATGATATATTTTGACTTTTGGGGGCTGAAAACATCTAAAAAAGACCAAAAGTTGATAAAAAATTGAAGGCACGAATCGAAGGAATCGACACAAAGAAGATTGGACTTAAAGGTTAGAGAAGGATTGAAAATTGTACCTAAGT